CTGTTTAAATGAGAGGAGGAAGGTATTGGAGATTCCTCTTCGCTTGCTATTTCTAGAAAGAAAGGATACAACAAGAAAAAAATACATATAATCTTGGTCAGTAAAGAAATTAAACTGTTACATTTTACATTTGTTTTTAATATAAGATCATTACTAGCATGGGAAGCTTTATCATGCCATTTAACATTTACTATGAAGTCAGTCTGTTTAATTAGGAATTTTGGATGACACGAACTGAGAGAAATATCTACCACATATAATCAGCATATCAGACAATGACAATCCAAGTATGAGGACGCAAATTAGTCATGGCTCTCATGTATTCCTTTAGCAGTGAAAATTGGTCAGACTATTTTGGAAAATAATTTGGTATTGCTTGAAAAACATGAAAACACATACTCTATGACCTAGAAATGCCTCTATTAAGTATACATTCAAGAAAAATCTTGCTGTATGTTTATTGGTAGGACTGTATTAATAGCACAAAACTGGAAAAAATTCAAAAGTCTATTGACAGTAAAATCAAAACACTGTGGTATATTTACATATAGGATGCTACACAGTGCTAAAAATGAAGGAGCCAAAGATGCGTGAGGATAAGGTAGGCATTCAATTTAGCACTTTCAGACTCTGTAGCATTGTCTTGTCTCCAGAATTTCCCATCTATTGTAGACTCTGCTCTTCCCAAGAAACCAAAAAATGTTTGACACTAAGAAGAAAAATTCTGACACTTACATTTGCATAATATTAAAAACACATAAGTTTCTTCCTTTGCCTTTACAGGTATAATGCCTCAAAAGGATTATAATACCATGTTTTATATATGCATTGCTGATAATACACTCATATTTTTAGCCAAGTGTGTGATACACCCCTGTAATCCCAATGACTCTTGAGGCTGAGGCAGGAAGACTCCAAGTTTTGAGACTACCTTGGGCAACTTCGTGAAACCTTGTCTCAAAATAAAAAATAAAAATAGCTCTGAGGTAGAGGGTGTATCTATCTCAGTGGTAGAGTGCCTCTGGATTTAATCTCCAGTACTGGGGACAAAAAATAAAGATTTTTAATGTCTGTAAAAATTCTTTTGGAGGGGCTGGGGATGTGGCTCAAGTGGTAGCATGCTCACCTAGCATGCATGAGGCACTGGGTTCGTTTCTCAGCACCACATAAAAATAAAGATATTGTGTCCACCTGAAACTAAAAAATAAATATTAAAATATTCTTTTGGACCTAAAATCTACAAAATAAGTTTACTTAACATTAGGAATATCTATGCCTCAGATATTTTACTTTAACAAACAAGGATGACATGATATATAAAAGCATTTCATTTAAAATTTTAAAGTTTTTCTTTTTGGTGCTGCTGGTGATCAAACTCAGGGCCTTGTACATGCCAGTTAAGTATTCTACCACTAAGCTACATACACCTCCAGCCCTAAAAGGTATTTTCTAATTATTGTGTATGTATATCATAATCAGAATGTTGGAATTAATGGTTTAGAAAATTGTATTAATTTTTAAGGCAGGAGGGAATAGAATCCTTTACATTTCTACTTTGTAAATCTCAACATAGATATTTTTGTTTCATAATAGTGCTGCTACACACTAATTTTAAAAATTCAAACAATATAAAAACTGTAGGGAAGAAAATGAAAATCATCTGTATTACCTCCTCTAATCAGATGTTTTTTGTGGAAGACTTTTTTGTTGTCTTTTTCCTCAATTAAGAAATTTAATAGTAGTACAAGAATGGTAGTCCAAAAAAAAAAAAAAAAAAAACAAAACACCTTCAAAGCGCAAAAGGATGTAAAGTGACTACCTCATACTCATCCCTAACCAATTTCATCTTCCCAACTTCTTTATCTCAAAGGTAAACCAGTAATGGCCAAGTTTGGTTGAAGTATATGTGTGTCTTTCTAACCCTTTTCTTACATTTCCTTGACTGTTTAAAAATAGTTTTTAAAAACTGTGTTAAAAATCACATAAAATTTATTACCTTAATCATTTTAAAGTTCATGTATGCTCAGTGGCATTAAGTACATCCCTCTCCAGAACTGCTTTATCTTTCTGAACTAAAACTCTGTAACAACTCCCCACCCTCCTGACCCTCAGTCCCTGGCAACCACCACTCTGCTTTTGGTCTCTGATTCTGACTACTCTAGGGACCCCATATAAGTGGATTCATATGCTCTTTGTCCTTTTGAAACTAGCTTATTTCACTTAGGGTAATGTCCTATAGGTTCATTCATATTGTAGCATGTGACAGAATCTTTCTTTTTATGGCTTAACAATATTCAATTGCATGTATTTACTATATTTTGATCACTCATTTATCTGTCAATACACACAAAAGTTGCTTTCACCTTTTGGCTACTGTAATAACGCTGCTATAACCATGGTTATACAAATACCTCTTTGAGATGGCACTTTCAAATTTTTTTGATATATACCAAAAGTGAAATTGCTAAAACACATAACATTTTAATTCCTTTGAGGAACTGCCATACTGTTTCCACAGAAGCTATAATCATTTTACTTTTTCACTAGCTGTGCATAGGTGTTCCAATTTCTCCACATCCTCACCAACATATTTGATCTTCTGTTTTTTTAATAGCCATCCTATGGATGTGAGGTGGTACCTCATTGTATACCTGACTTCTGAAGACTGAGTTACATGTCCATAGGAGTCTGGCAATATTTGGACAATTTTAAAGAAATATGGACAATTATTGGCCAAACTTCAGTGTTAATAGTCATGAACCACAAAGCAATGTTTCAGTCAATGATAGACTATACATATAACAGTAATTCCATAGATTATAGTAGAGTTTGAAAAATTCCTATCACCTAGTGACGTAATTGTTGTAAAGTCAGCATAATCCATTACCCGTGTTTGTGGTGATACTGATGTAAACAAACCTACAGTGCTGCCAGTCATATAGAAGTATAGCACATACAATTATGTACAGCAAATTATACTTGATAAGGATTGTCATTGGTTTATGAATTCACTAAACTATACTTTTAAATGTTTTCTGAAGCCTTAGCATGTTTTTAATGCCCACTGGTATTTGATTAATTTCTTGCCTCAACAGTACTTTGTCATTGTTTCTTTTTTCTTTTTTTTGTATCAGGAACTAAACCCAGGGGCACTTTACCATTAAGCCACACCCCTGGCCCTTTTTTATTTTGAGACAGGATCTCATTAAATTACTTAGGGCCTCCCTAAATTGCTGAGACTGCCTTTGAACTTGCAATTCTTTTGCCTCAGCCTCCAGAGCTGCTGGGATTATAGGTGTGCACCACCACTGTGACTACAAGTACTTTGTCAACCAAAGTAGAACCCACAAAATAAAATCCCCAGCCTCCCCGGCAGCTAGGACTTAAGCATCTCCAATCTGATGTCCCTGTAGAAAAAGTTCATTTTGGAAGTAATCTGAAAAGAAGGCTCCATGAATTACTTTAGGTGGTTTTCAATATGGAGTACATTTTTCTGTAGTTACAGAGTCCCCAGTGCAGATGTGACATTAGTAGGGTAATTCTAATACAATGTCAATTTTCTTTAGGGCTTTCTGAGTTGCTGGGACAGGTTTTACATGATATGGTTTTAGAATTGTTCCTGTAAGCTAAGTATGGATTTGTGTCTCTAGTCATCTCAAAAATTTTGTCAACCACTGAACCTCTTTATTTAAAATTACTTTTATGCCTGGTCAGAATCAGTTTTAGATGTTGCAGCAATATGCTTAATGGGTACACTGCAATTTATTTCATTATACTGCAATTTATTTCATTATAATGTATTTTTTGACCTTTTTCTTCTGCTTACATCACCTAACTTTCAAGCTATTCATGTGTTTTTATGGCATGTACCACCACACCATAAACATAGATACAATTTAGAGCTGAAAATATTTATAAAATAGCTGAAAACTATTTTTTTAAAGAGAGTGAGAGAGAGAGAGAGAGAGAGAGAGAGAATTTTTTTAATATTTATTTTTTAGTTATCGGCGGACACAACATCTTTGTTTGTATGTGGTGCTGAGGATCGAACCCAGGCCGCACGCATGCCAAACGAGCACACTACCGCTTGAGTCACATCCCCAGCCCGTGAAAACTATTTTTAAAAATATTTTTAGTTGTAGTTGGACATAATACTTTTATTTGTTTATTTTTTTTATCTGGTGCCATGGATGGAACATGGTGTTGGGGATGGAACACAGTGCCTCTCACATGCTAGGCAAGCGCTCTACCACTGAGCCACAACCCTGACCCTGAAAGCTATTTTTAATTTGTCTTCCAACCAAAGTTGGAAAGAAAACATACTATTTCCTATTTCTATTATAGCCCACCATGAAAGATGAAAATTTGAGTCCTATATCACCAGAACAAATGAATCTCTTTTCCAGGTCCCCTTACATTTCTTCCCAAAATGGAGAAAGAAGTTTGTATGTAGCAAGACTGTTGAGGCTAAAGATTAAGGATGAAAAGCTGACAGAGAAGTAATCTTCTGCTGAATAAATTTTTTAAAATTATTAAGGAAATGATCTATATCCATTATGTCACTGTATGTACCACTGAATATGTGCTACTTTCTATGTATGGCTAGATGATATATCCCTTAATTTTACATGTTTCTGAATTTTCTATAAAAGGAATCAAACCACTTGTAGTCATTTGCAATATTAAGTGGTTCTCATATGTCAATTTGTATTGCTGTAATTTTTCATTTTTACTGAGCATTACATAATATGTAAATACAGCACAATTCTGTTCTCTAATAAAACTGGTTTTTTTTCCTGTTTCAAATATTCCTGCTATGAACAATGCTGTGTGTGTGTGTGTGTGTCTTCTAGTATAGCTGGCCAGAGTATATTTATAGATATCCATAACTCTATCTATATGTGTATATCTAACTAACTTATGTGACAGCAAAGGCTTTCAGACTTTTTACACCTTAACCATATTTATCTTTGATGTTTTCTATTCTATCTCAACGTTAGATCGATTACAACCACTTCAGGTGCCTCTAATGGGTCACAACCTACAACTGGAAAAGCACTGCTTTAATGATATGGGAGATAGGTCTACGAGTGCCAAGGCTGAGTCCAGAACTCAGGAATTTGATTGCTCCCCCAACTCTTGGAGGTATTCTGGGGGATATGCTGCAGCTTGGACATTTGTTATGCTCCAGGTTACAAAGACTAGAAGCCTCGGGATGACATGCATGCCCTAGCAGCCATTCTGCCAAAACTTGGTAGTGAGATGAGCTGGCCACAGCCCAAGGGCCATGTTACTAGGTGCACAGACTGAAGGCCTCAGAATTGAGCCTGCTCGGTCCACATACTTCAAAAGCAAGGACTTGTGGTGGCTCCAACAGTTGTCTTGCCCAGTATACACATAAAAAGCCTCCGGAGGGAATACAGCCTTGGTGTGTCAACATTCCCTTAATCTGCCTGATTCAAAACAGTGTGCAGCCTCCATGTTGCCCGAACCAGCTGAGTGTGAGCTGAGAAGAAACACAGCAGGCTTCAGTTTTGGCCCAGTATCTATCTCAGTATCTAGCAGTTTCTAACGTAGAAGACTGGGAATAAAGCATACCAGCTAGGAGGAATTAATGCCTTATTTTCTTTTTCCTTCCTTTATCTATTTCATTATTACTATTATTTAAATTTATCATTATTTTTACTTGTTTTTCTTTGTATTTTTCTTTCCTCTTCTTTCTCATTTTTCCTTTACCTTTTTTCTTTTTTCCCTTTTTACTTTTCTCCTGTTGCTTTTTAAATTTTTCTTTTATTAAGAATTTTTAACTTTAAAATATGCACTAGATTATTTTTGCCCTTTTCTATTATCATTGGCACTGTGGTTGTGTTTTTTGTTTGATTTTTAATATATTTCTATACCTGCTTGGGTTTTATGCTTTATTGCTATTGATTTCTTCCTTCTGAGCAGTGCTGGGATCAAGCCCAGCACCTTGAGGACACTGGGGGGTTGCTCTGCAGCTGAGGTATACCCCCAGCCCAGTTGAGAGAAGTTGCACCTTTCTCCAGCCATGACCCTGCTTCCCACAAAACTTGGCAGATATTTCAACTTGAAGAATAGGCAAGATAAAATCCCCCAGCTGATAATCCACCCATAAGCAGGCCTAGCTAGGAGAGCCTTAAGTCCTGCTCCTGGACATCCACCCCGACAGGAACAGCAGGGAGAAATAGCAACTGTTGTGTACCTATGGGAGATCTTAGAACAGGCTGCTCCGATACCCTTTTAGAACCACATATTGCTGATAAGACTGGAGGAGTAACCACAGAGGATGCACCACACATATTTTGCTGTCTATAGCACACCTACCTGAATTATCAGAGGGAACCCACTCCCGTGAGACAGCACATCCCTCAGGCTTTGATCCAGCCTACACAGTGTCAAAACTACTAATTACAGCTCAAGTAGCCACCAAAACACTACACTACAAAGTCCATCAGGAATTAAATTTAACACTACATAAGAAACTGATATCCTAGAGCACATCGTCAAAAGAAGGCTGCTTACTAGGAACTCTCACATAAAAGTGGAAGAAAGACTATCAGGACTTGAAAACAAGGTTGATAAATTATCACATTCAGATAGCAGTAAGCAAACAAACAAACAATGAACAGAACTTAAAGATCTATGGTATACCATTAACAGACCACACACACACACACACACACACACACACACACACACACACACACACAGAATATGCAAGGGAGAAGAACTACAGATTAAAAGCACAGAAAACCTATTCAGTGAAATGATGCCAGGAAATTTCCCAAATCTTGGGAAAGAAATAGCCATCCACGTACAGAAGGCATTTAGAACCCTAAATAGACATGACAAGAAAAGATATAATATATCTCCAGGATATATTATAGTTAAACTGCCAAAATTACAGAAATAAAGAAAGAATATAGAGAGTTATAAGAGAAAAGCACCATGTCACATGAAGAAAAACCAATAGACTTTTAAAAGTAGAAACTCTGAAGGCCAAAAGAGCAGGATGATGTTTCAAGTCCTGAAATAAAATAACTACCAAACTAGATTATTATATTCAGAAAAGTCCATCCTTCAGAAATAATAGCATTCTGAGATAAGTATAATCTCAAGAAATTCATGACCACTAGTTCAGCATTACACAAGATAGTCAAAAGAATCCTACACTCAGAAGAGGATTAAGAAGATATGATGATAAATAAATGCTCTGAACCTCAGAGCACTCAATTTTATAAAATGAACACTATTAGACACAAAGGGAAAAATAGAACCCAAAATGATAATAGTGGATGATTTTAATACCCCACTCTCAGAAATAACAGCATCTAGACAAAATAATCAACAAAGAAACATCAGAGTTAAATTATACTGTAGGTCAAATATACTTAGTAGACATCTATACAATATTCTATTCAATAGCTATAGAGTACATATTCTTTTCATCAACATAAAACTTTTTCTAAAACATATCTTAGCAAGTCTTAAGAAATAAAAAAGTTTCTTGCATCTTATCAGATCATAATGGAATGAAAGCAGAAATCAACAGTAAGAAAAACTATAGAGATTATAAGAACACATGGAAAGTGAACAATATACTTTTGAACCATAGTTCATTATTGGAGAAATCAAGTTGGGGGGTTGGATTTTAAAAATTCTTAGAATCAAATGAAAATAGAAAAACCCATACCAGAATCTGTAGGAAATAGTGAAATCAGTACTTAGGGAATTTTATAGCTAAGCACCTATATTAAAAGAGTTGAAAGCTCTCAAATAAATAACTTTTAATTATGCAGCTCAAGGTCTTAGAAAAACAAAAACAAATCAAATCTAAAATCAGTAGAAGGAAAGAAATTATAATAATTCCCCTTTGGAACAGATCTTTCATATCAGGTATGGATCCAACTTCACTATTTCTTCCCATAAACATAAGACAGGGTTTCCATAGTTCTGCAAAGCTACCTGTGTAAAAAATCAACTTGTCATAGATGGATGGGTCTTTTTCTGTTTCACACTCTATCTGTGCAAATATACTGTTTTAAGTCCTGATATGTGGTAAAGTAAGTTCCTTTATTTTTGGTTTTTCTTTAGAAATGTTTTAATTTTTGGTCTTTGTTCTTGCATATAAATTTTTTAATGAGTCTGTCAAACACTATATAGAAATCTTGTTGGGTTTCTGATGTAAATTGCCTTGAAATCTACATATCAGTTCAGGGAAAATTAACATCTCATGACACTGAATCTATCCATGAATATGGAATAATGTCCCATTTACTTTAGTTCACTTTAATGTCTCTCAATAAAATTCTAAATTTTCCTTCATAAAGATTGTGTATACTGGCCGGGCATGGTGGCAAACGCCTGTAATCCTAGTGGCTCGGGAGGCGAGGTCAGAGGATTACAGGTTCGAAGCCAGCCGTAGCAACTTAGTGAGGTTGTAAGCAACCTACTGCGACTCTGTCTCTAAATGAAAAATAAAAAGGGCTGGGGATGTGGCTCAGTGGTTAAGCAATCCTGGGTTCAATTCCTGGTACTAAAAAAAAGATCTTGCATACTTTTTGTTAAAACTTATAAATAGGTAAAAAAATACTTCATATTTTTGGCTTTTACGTGTATTTTTTTTTTTTTTAAGGCATGATACTTAGAACTTCTTGATCTACAAAGGATAGAATGACTCAAATTATATGCAGGCCAACCTATTGGGAAACAATATCAGATCTGGCCAAGAATTGGTTATCAGAGACAGTGCTTATACTTTGAAAACTTACTCTGCAGCTTAAAAAATTCCTGATTCCTGTCACTAAGAAACAAAGTAAAAAATATTAGACACATCCATATTAATATGTGATTTTATGGAGGTCTTCCACCAGAATGTGAACGTAGAGTTAAGTGTAGGGGATAAGATCTTTTGATATTTAAAAAATAAATTATTTAGAAACTAAGAAATTAGACATACCATACTCTTTCATTTGCTACAATAACAATTTGACAATGAAGACTATTCAAAAGAAATGTTCATTTTAGAGAGGGAGGGAATGGTAACGCTTTCCAGTACAGAATAACCTCCTGCTTTCCCAGACAATTAGCACTGCTATTCTTCCATGATACATATTCATGTGGAAAAACTTGTTGAGTTTTGCCAGGGCCGGATGAAAAACAGAGCATTTCCTAATTTAATCAGCTAATTCAGCTCAGTGAACATTTTTGGAATGGATCCATAAACTCTGGCCATTTTTTTGTCAAAGATCTGAAAACTGCACGATTCCTCAGCCCTTAGCATAGTTTCTGTTCAATATCTTAAAGCTGGGCTCAGTCCCACTGTGACTTGTCTCAGGGCTGAAGTGAGTGTTAGATATCAAAGTCTGGAATGTCATCATAGGAGTAACCCTGACAGCCTTAAATGCATAGTCAGCAATGTGCGGGCAGGAACACCAGAATGCCAATGAGCAGAACAGGAAGGGCCTGGTCTGCACTACCCTTTACTGATATAGCCTACAGCAGGAGGGAGCCTATGATAATGAGAAAGGTACCAATCAAAAACAGCACAGTGGCAAGTACAGTGGTCTTATAAGGAATCTTAGGAGAGCTTTTCTTAAACTGAAGATCAGTGTAGCCTTCGACTGTGCTAGAGAGCCTTGAATATTTTACTTTACTACTGGGGATTCCAACAGCCAGATTAGTATCAGACAGAATTATAATACCCTGACAGCTACAGTCCGAGCACAGCGCCAAACTCGCCCATGGCTAATAGACTACACATCCCAGGCCTCATGGCACAGTCAACCTAACTGCCTCCCCAGTAAACACTGACTGGCCACCAGAAGTGTGTATCTGGGGGCTGGGGAGGTGGCTCAAGCGGTAGCGCGCTCGCCTAGCATGCGTGCGGCCCGGGTTCGATCCTCAGCAGCACCATATACCAACAAAGATGTTGTGTCCGCCGAGAACTAAGAAAAAATAAATAAATGTTAAAAAAAAAAAAAGTGTGTATCTTTTTTTTTAAAAATCAGATTTTTCTAACCAATTTTTTGCTGGTGTACAGACATATAACTGAGTTTTTGTTTTATGGATTTTATAACCAGCAACCTTGCTACACTCATTTATTAATTCCAGTAACACCTAAGTGCTGGATTTTTCTATGTGCATAGCTGTTACCAATTGTAAATAATGAGAATTTAACTTCTTCCCACTATCTATGATTTTTAATTCTTTTTCTAGCCACAATGAACTGTCTAAAATCTACACGCAACGCTTAATAAAGGTGAAAATAAGCATCTTTGTCTTATTTCCAAATTCAAATTCTATATCTCATTAGTAAGTATGATATCTGGTGTAAGTTTAGTTTTTTGTTTTTATCAATACCCTTTAATAGGTAAAGAAAGTTCCTGTTTATGGCTGGATTAATTAAAGGTTTGTGCATTTTATCACAAATGCTTTAAAAATGTTATTAAATAACTTTTCCGACCTGGTCATGTATTTTTTTCTCCTTTAATCTATTTATGATAATTTACCACATTATTATTTTTTAATGTATGCTCAACCCCACTTGGTCATGAAATATTAGATTTACTATATGATTGGAGCTGGTGTACTA